GGGAGACGGGGCTGCTGGTTTGCACGGACTCCGACCCCAGCGCCGCCCCCGTCTCTGCTCAGCCACGTCCCTCCCACGGCACCGTCTGGCACACGGCCCTTCTCAGCCCCTTTCCCCACGAGTGGGAACGCGGAAGGTGTCTGAGACCACGTGGGCATCGAAGCCGGCCAGGGCCCGTGACCCCGCGGTGCCTCCCGTGTTGGTCTCTGCTTCCTCCTGCCACGCGGCCCACTTTCTGGAGGCGAAGGCGCCTGCGCGGGCACAGAACCAGGAGGGAGTGACACGTGTCCTTGCCCACGCCCTGCCCTCTGTCCACGGCGCCGCGTCGTCGGGACCTGGCACGCTCTTTCCCGTCACCCTCCTGCTGTCCCGTGAGGGAAGAGGCAGAACCGCCCGTGGCCCCTGAGCAAAGCCAGGCACAAAGGGAAACTCGCTCTGGCTCTCCGGGCCGTGAGAACGCGGCCCTTGCTGTTCTTTTTACTTTTTCTGTCTCCCCCCAGCCCCCACCCCAAGCAAAGCGGTTCCATGTTGTAAACCTGCCTGGGGAGGCGAGATTCTCGGAAGGGGCAGCGCACCTGTGTTTAACCGCGCTCTGCGGGAGTTCCGCAAGCTGGACAGGTGTGACCTGCCGCAGGTGACCTGGTAACTCCCTCCCTCCCCCCAGCCCTCCACACCGCAGGCCTCTCCCCGTTTACTTGTAAGGCACGTTCAGTACTCTCACGGGAGGAGCTTGTCTTAGAACACCAGCCCTTTTAGCAAACACTCTCCCACCATGGGCTGCTTTGGCAACAAGCTGTGATTGCCAAGTCTGGCTGGATTTGAACCAGGTGCTCAGCACTGCGCGACTCAATAGCTCATCATTCCTCCCTCAAACCAGAGACGTTTTCCTCACGTTGTATTTTGCGGTTTTCTCCACCAGAAATGCATACCCCGATTGCTAAAATAGCCACCCCTTTTAAAACAGCATCAAAATGGGATAAAATCTCACGCATGAAAATTCAAGTGTGTCCTTCAGAATATGAGCCTGAGGAATGTCACTTAGCGAGTCCTTGTATCTGCGAACGGTGATCAGAGCTGAAGGTGGCACCCAGCTGCGGTCCGCTGCAGAACGGTCCCTGCCTACCCAGCGCCGTGATGTCACCCTTGTTTCTGCACCTGCCTCCGGGAACCTTGCAGACACGTGGGGGTCAGCGCATCCCAGTCTCCAAAAAAGCAGAGACAGGACAGGAGTTGTGTTTTGTTGCCGGATTGACGTTGGTTTGCACAGTTGTGCTGACATGACATGAGCTGTTTTCCCATCCTTGAGACCGAGGCAGGAAGGTTTGGGGACGTTCTCTGTCCCCAGGTGGCTGGAAGATGAAGTGGATCCTTGTCGGGGTCTCCTCCAGATTGTGTTGCAAGATTTGAATCTCAGAGCAGGTCATCGAGGGACAGACACTTGGTTCTGTTTAAAAATTATTTCTTACAGTGAAAAACAAAGTGGAGATATTCTTGTATGGGCTTATTCAAGTAAATACCGACTGAATTTCGGAGCTGGATGAGCGAGCTGCGGCGATGGTCAGCTCAGGGAGGGACGGGCGCCGGCGGGGAGGCGGGTCCCCTCTTCGTGTTGCACCCGCAGCCTCTAACCCAGTTTGAGTCCGCGGTTTGCACTGCTCTGTCTTTAGGTTACAAAATATTATCTTAATTCAGTGGAAAGCTGCCTCATGAAGGTATTCTAATTATTATTTAGCATTTTCACATTTCGTTCACAATATTAAAACCTACATGGTTATATTCAGAAACATGAACGAAGTATTATCCTTTCCAGTCGAAAGTAGAAAATATTCTTGACTCATTTTGGGAACACATGATAACAATAAACTGATGACTAAGAAACGTAAGCGTGTTAAGGAGGCTGGACTCGTGAGGAGACAGCACAAAGGGAGAAACAGCCAGGGAGGTTCGGAAGCTTCATGAGACGGCCACACAGGACTAGTTTTGTGTCGGGGGGGTTCCCGCCGAAGTAAAGCCCTGGTTTTGAAGCCTGGACGTGATGCAGCACTCCACCAAACGGCGACGGTGACAGCCGGGAAGGGAAGACTTGGTTTAGAAAGTACCAGAAACTGGTGGACAGAGACAGGAAGCGGGAAAATCGTGTTCCCTTTTATCCATCGGAAAGGCCACCTTTTCAAATGTGCGTTAGTTAGCTATTTCTCAGATACGCAGCCCGGGGTGGGGCGGGGACCCGGGTGTCTCCCAGCGTAGTGAGCGGAGCGTCCCGTAGAAATCCCGTTCAGACTCCCGGAGGCTGGCGCTGCCGGATGAGCATCGCTGAGGAGTGTCTTAGGACGGTTGCCTTTGCTCCCGGAGTGGAGCCCCCACCTCGCCGCCTTCCGTCAGGACCTCAGGGGATGAAGGTCCGAGAGGCTGCGCTGCTTCCCTGCGGCCCAGGGCCTTCCGCGGTGGATTCATCGCGTGCAAATTCCCCGCTGTTTTACTATCACGTTTCCAAGAAACAGGATGAAAACACCCTCAAAAATGTCGTGAACTTTGTATCTTTGATGTACGTGCTGGGCTGTATTTCAACGTCATATTCAAAATTGAAAAATAAAATTCCAGTTCTGAGATGTTTTTGCTGAAGAGAGTTTTACCTAGCGTGTACGTGGCCATGGTAATTCTAAATTAATTCTGAACAGAACACTCTGAACTCATCATCAGCAGATAAACTCCTAAATAATTCTGAACAGAACTTTTTTTAAATTTCTTTGCGTCGGTGTAATAATGATGAGGGAACAAAAAGATACCTATAACAGTTTAAATCTATTGGAAAAGAAAGAATAATACTTCATATTTATAATATAAATCTTTTGGCATCATATAAATGTTAAAAGTTTTGTCACAGATTACTCAGTATACTTCCCGTACTCCAGTACAAAAAGATAGTTCCTCAATTTTCATATCTATGAATCAGAATCCAACTAAACCAGGGTTTTTAATTATCTTTAGTTGCATAAAATTTTATTATTTTAGTAAACATTTACTTTTTTACCTAATTTACTTCAGTAACCAGCATGGTGAGGCATGTTAAGAGGTTAGGACGACATTTTCAGGCGAGGGAGCTAATATTTTGGCTAACAGGCCTTGTAGACATGTCCCCCTACGTAGCACGGGAAGTAGAGCTTGATCCGGGTTTCCCAGTCTAGGGCCCATGACTTAGGGTGACCTTGTCCTCCCAGGGTACCAGAGAGCTTGAAGAATTTAACTAGAAAGTGCCAAAGCAGTGTGAATGAATCAAAATAGAGCAAAATATTTGCATAATTTAGTTTTCGATAAACATTTGATACTCCAAACTAATTTCATTCCTTATTTCCCTCTTTTAGGTTCCATAAATGAAAAGTTACCCCAACGGGAAGGCACAGGAAAAACAGGTAACTATCTTCAAATGAATTTCTGTGATGAAATAGAATGTCTAACCCAAACTGTGCCTTAAAATAACTTCTCAAGGTTAAAACTTAAACATTCTAGTAATGCCAGTGAGGCTGAGACGGCGTGTTGGTTCTTTATTCATTCAACAAACATTTATTCAACCCTTGCTGTTGCCAGTTACCTTGCTGGGTGTTGGGCATACACTCTGCTGGAAAACCCACCGGCTCCACGTTGGGGGGGGTGGTCTCAGACGTGGCTTGTGTTGGGACTACGTGTGAATACTGCCAGGTACCACGTGGGCCAGAGCTTGTGCGGAGAGCTCAAAGGTTCAGCGTCTCACCCCACCCGGAATTCTAATGTCTCAACCCTTCCTTACAAGAAGGAGGGGTGCTTTTCCCATCTGCAACAATCACGGCCTCTGAGACTGGGACACACAAGAATAGAAGAGAATAGTTGACCGTTTTTCTTACAGAAACCACTTTGTAGCCCCCAGGCTCGTGTTTCAGTGGCAATCACACGCCCCAGACCTGCCAGGAGGGTCCCCGCCTCGCTCTCTGCTGTCCTTGGCTATTTCCTTCCACTCCAGGGACAGTCTGCTTTCCTCTTACGTCAACCTCAACAGTCAGAAATTGCTTTCATGGCCGGGCGCAATGGCTCACGCCTGTAATCATAGCACTCTGGGAGGCCGAGGCAGGAGGATCGCTCAAGGTCAGGAGATTGAGACCAGCCTGAGCAAGAGTGAGACCCCGTCTCTACTAAAAATAGAAAGAAATTAGCTGGACAACTAAAAATATACAGTAAAAATTAGCTGGGCATGGTGGCGCATGCCTGTAGTCGCAGCTACTCGGGAGGCTGAGGCAGGAGGATCGCTTGAGCCCAGGAGCTGGAGGTTGCTGTGAGCGAGGCTGACGCCACGGCACTCTAGCCCGGGCAACAGAGTGAGACTCTGCCAAAAGAAAGAAAGAAAGAAAGAAAGAAAGAAATTGTTTTCAAGACAAAATGAAGTTAGGTTTTATAGCCAAGATCTTCGACACTTTTCTCTGATGTAGACTGTGGTGTAAGGAGCCAGTGAGAGAGAGGCGGGAGACCCGAGTCTGTCCAGCCCAATCTTGCACACTTAGAAACCGGGCCGGCGCTGTCCCTGCCCTGGGAGATCATCCGTGAGATTGTCTCTGTGTTATTGGGACACAGACATGAGCAGGGACAAATTGTCACAGAGCGAATCTGGCGTGTCCAGAGGGCTCTAGCTGGGGATTCAGAGGCAGCGGCACGTCTGCGAAAGAGGAAGTTTTTACCAGGCGTGGCCTGGGGCAGGGCAAGCCTCATAGTTGAGGAAAATGCCTCATTTTCCAGCTCACGTCCCTGTTACACCCGCCATTATTTTCCGGCTGAAAACGAGCTCAAGGTGGTTGATATCGTGCCCACCGTGAGCAGATCCTGGAACTGGGACGCAGGCACAGGGATGAATTTCGGCCATGAACGGCCCCTGGTCTAGACGCACGTGTGCAGAAGGGAGGCTCGCAGCCCGGCGGCACAGCTCGCTTGTGGGTGAGCGCGAGGCACTCGGCAAACGCTGACAGGGAAGAAATGAAAAGCGCGCAGCTCTACAGGACTCTCATTTCATTTTCTCAAGGCTGACTTTGGCAGCTGCCAGGGTTTGCTGTGTAGGGACAGAGATGCTCCGGGTCGGGGCGTGGAGCGTGGCCTCGTGGCCTCCTGCTGACCAGGCGGAAGGGGGAGCAGTGGAG